GGGGGGGGGGGGGGGGGTAGTGGGGTTAGGGGGTTGGAACTATCAATTTTTCAAACGGAGCGCCATAGGCGCCCAAAAAGGCAATGGCACCGCAGTTTCACCCAAAGCCAGTTGCTCTAGAACCGTTCTAATCCTTCAAATGTGACATCACTGTTTTTATTATTTGCAATGACATGCAAATGCAAATGCGTTCTTTTTTTTTTTTTTGAAAACCAGATGGGCGAACGACCAAAACTGAGTAAAGAGTTGGACGCAATGGCGGAATCCAAAGAAAAGATAGAGGATTTAGCAGGTTCTGACTGTAGGACTGAGCTGGACGCCGAGTCAGCCCTTTTAAAATTTCTTGTTTCTGTATATCATTGGTGTACAGAAAAGAGTCCACGCGACCGCCCCACGGCTGAGAACCTTTACAAGCTCTTGTTTACCCGAGCTTGCTCTGTACTTACTACTAGTTCAAGAACGTCAGATGATGTATAGGATGTTTGATCAATCTTTAATTTGTAGCTGAGTTCAAAGATTTTGTATCTTAGGTAGTTGCTACCTCATTATATTTTATCATCCCACACCAATTATTTATGATTAATTCCTCCATGATTTCTGTAACATATAGTGTTATATAAAAGAACTCAAAGTAAAAAGAGGCATTTCAAAACTTCCGTCTGTGTATATCTAGCTTTGCTTGAAGTTACCTTTCTTATATAGCATTCCGTTCAACTTATTTTTTCTACTTAAGCTCTGTTTGGAAAACAGCTTTTCGGATAGCTTTTGGCATGTTTGACTGATTTTGGCTTTTTTGACTGAGCGAACAGCAAAAATCGTTGTTTGGCTAATGGCTTTTTCACTTGGCATAATGATCCGAAAAGCCAAAATCTGAAATGCCAAGGGGGGTAGCATTTGGACTTGCCTGTTAGGAAAATTAATTTTTTTTAAAGTCATTTTTCTTGAAAGATATTTTATAATATATGTAAAAAATAAAAATAAAAGTTAAAAAAATTAAATACTAAAAAAAATTAAATTCAAAAATTAAAAAATTCAAAAATATGAAATGAGAAAATAAAAAGTAAAATAATTAAAAAGTTGTATATTAATAATTTCTTATGAATTAATTGAAAGTAAAATTTAATACTCCATATAGTAAAGATTTAATTTATACATGTAAAAAAATGAAAAATAAATATTGTGTGTGTGTGTGTCTATATATATATATATATATATATATATATATATATATATATATATATATATATATATATATATATATATATATATATATATATATATATATATATATATATATATATATAATGGAAAAAACTATTTTCTACCAAACATTTTTAACAATCAGCCAATTCATCCTGCCGGTCAAACCAGCTGAAGTAAACAGTCATTCACAACAGCTAACACGAACTGCCAACAACCAATAGCTAACAACCAACATCCAAACAAGGCCTTATTCTTATTATAATCAGATTAGACCTGATCAGATTAGACCAAAATGTAAGCAGAAATTATTAATATACATCTTTTTATTGATTTTTACTATTGATTTTCTCATTTCACTTTTTTTAACTTTTATGTTTTTAAATTTAATTTTTTCATTTTAAAATTTTTAACCTTTATTTTTTATTTATTTTTACATATATTATTGAATATCTTTTCAATACAAATGATACAACAATATTAATTTTTCAAACATCCAAGTCTAAAGGTTATTCTCCTTGACTTTTTGAATTTCGGCTTTTCATATCAAATTACCAAGTGAAAAAATTATTCGCCAAACAATGGTTCCGGCTGTTTGATTTGCTAAAAAACCTATAGTCAGTCAAAGAGCAAAAACTATACAAAAAATTATTTTCTAAACACAGTCATTATCAAAGTCTAAAATCTTATTTTGAGAATAGAAACATGAAACTCTTATTTTGTTATTTTCTCTATATTTACTCTTATTTAGCATGATTTTTTTAAGAGTAAATTATATAAAATGTCCCCAGTTATAGGTCGTTTTATATATTTAGTCCCCACATATCAAATATTACTAATTTAGTCCCCAATTATTATATTCATTTCCACGAATGGTCCTTTGTTAACATTTCCGTTAAGAACGTGGATAAAATTGTATACTCATACTTCTCTCTCTCCTCAATTAAACTTTCTTCATCTTCTCATACTCTTTCCCAAACTCGTCGCTGAGTTTGAAGCTCTTAAACCCAAAATTTAAATGATCGTTCCTCCAGTTAGACAAACAATTGAGAGAAGAGTGATGATTTTGGTTTAGGGTTCAATGCTAGAAACTCAGCGACGGGTTTGAGAAAGGAGTACAAGGGAGGAGAAAGCTTAATTGAGGAGAGAAAGGAGTGTGAATTTATAATTTTATCCACGTTTTAATGAAAATGTTAACAAAGGACCATTCGTAGAAATAAATATAATAATTGGGGACCAAATTAGTAATATTTGATATGTAGGGACTAAATATGTAAAACGACCTATAACTGGGGACCTTTTATGGAATTTACTC